GCAACCGGCCACCAGCCACTCACCCAAGCTGGCCAGGCACCCCAGCAGGGATTCCCACCCTGTAGGAGATGTGGCCAGCCTGCAAACAGCCATCAGCTATTTACCCAGGCTGGCTACACCTTCATGGGGTGAGGGTCCCTGCTGGGAGGCTTGGCAGCCTGCAAACAGCCATCAGCCCCACACCCAGACTGGCCAGGCACACCAGCAGGGATTCCCACCATGAAGGAGCTGTGGCCAGCCTGCAAAAAGCCATCAGCCCCTCACCCAGGCTGGCCAGGCACTCCAGCAGGACCCCCACCTGATCTGGGACCCCCTTCAGGGCAAACCAGCCAGCCCTCACCCATGTACCAGGCCTCTATCCTATATAATAAAAGGGTAATATGCAAATTGGCCCTAATAGCAGAACGACTGGGAATGACTGGTCACTATTATACACACTGACCACCAGGGGAAGGCCCACAGTGCAGGGACTGCCCCTTGGTTGTTAGTGCGCTCCCACAGGTGGAGCTCTGCTCAGCCACAAGCCAGGCTGATGGCTGCCAGTACAGCGGTGGTGGTGGGTGCCTTTCCTGCCTCCTCAGCAGTGCTAAGGATGTCCAACTGCAGCTTAGGCCTGCTTCCCGCTGGAAAGTGGACATCCCCCGAGGACTCTCAGGCTGCCAGAGGGATGTCTCACTGCCAGCTTAGGCCCAATCCCCTGGGGAGCGGGCCTAAGCCAGCAGGTGGTCATCCCCCAAGGGGTCCCAGACTGTGAGAGGGCACAGGCCGGGCTTAGGGACCCCTCTGAGTGCACAAATTTTTGTGCACTGGGCCTCTAGTAGCATTATAATATTAAATATATTTGTAGCACTTATAAAGAGCTAAATGGTTTGTAACAATTTTGTGATTTTTCTTTTCCTTAATCTTCAATACTACTTGAGTCATTCAGTCCAGTGCTTATGGTCACCATACAAATTTAGGTTAAAATAGCTTGAACACTAATTCAGATTTCAAAATTAATCAGTTTCAAATGTTGACCTTCTCAGTCACTAATCCTATATTAGTGATTTAATTATTTCACCAATTTACTTCACTATATTAAGACAGGTGGTATTTGTTTATCAAATCTTAGATTTTCCTTTATTCATATGTTAAAATGTCTATAAATTTTATTTGGATAAAATGGGTACAGAAGGATCTCAGAATTCTTAAATACTTATTGGCAGAATTTAGGTCCTTGAAGAAAGCAATTGTGAAGGATTTTATTCTGGTTAACTGGTATTTTTAATAAGAATTACTTTGAAGTTATCCACACATTTGTATTCATTGTGTCATATATAAGCCAGCAGGTGGCAAACTTGAGATTTTTTTGTACTATTGCTCTTGTTGAAGATGCATTAAACAATGTGTCAATGAATCTCAAGAACAGCTCTTTCAGTGTACCATAGCATAAGAAAACTTAAAACCTCTAATTGTGGAGTCACTGGTATTTGGATAGCAATGTACTTATTTAGTTTTTTCTTGAGTTACTATTTTATCCTATAATTCTTTCTCTAACAGATTGTTTTGAGACATGTATGATGCCAGTTTGAACCTATTTTTGCTGTGATTTCCATCATT